GAAATCTAATTACCACCGAATAAGCGAGCATTAATCTTTAGATTTTTTTCTCTTTTACGCTCGGATGGGCGGATGGGTGGGTTGAGCTTGAGTTTCCTCTCCATGGAAAACGAATGTTCATGAGAAGGAGTCGCGGTTAGAGAGAGAGAAAGAGGAGACTCGTCGGAGGGCGTGATCCTGTCCATTGTGTTGTGCACATTTTTGCCGGTTACCCGATCGCCTGAAAGGTCTCGGTTGTACCATTCCGTTTATCCATTGTTCTCTGAGACTTTTACTGTCTGATACCGCAATACCACCGTACATCGTTGCCAGTCATTTCCCCTTCGCGGCTCCTCCGCGGCATCGAGATGTTCTTGCTCGTCATCCTCTTCGTCTTTATCTTACCCTTTCCCCAGGTCTACTCGGCTCTTCTCTTCCTTTTCTTTTTTTTTCATTTCGTATGGAATCACCCTCTTATCTGAAATCACGCAGAAAGCATCTGAATTTCACCGTTGTCAAACACGTCTTGTACACCTGTCTCCGTCGGGATGATCTCGTTTCCGTATGTGAGATGAGTGATGGTACGCATTCGAAAAGGATAAGTTGGGAATTTCTGTTGGAAAATTCGGCATTGCGAATACACATTGTCGAGATGAATTAAATAAAGAGTTTATATAAGTAAATTTAGTTAAAAATGGAGATTTATTAGATTGACTTATATAATACTTTTTATTACTTAGATGCGTAATTCTCATCTTAAAACTCGTCGTGAAACTCTTCGCTGTTCCGATTATTACAGGATAAATAATATTAAAATTGATACATGTTTTGGACATAATCTGTTGATACATACATTGCACATGTAGAATTATAGTAGATCGAAAGAGGCAACTATAAAAGTCGAGGAACGTTTAAGACGATTTACGACAATTTGACGACTTTTAATTTATCATTCATATATTTATCATTCATAAAATTTAATATAAAGTAATTTTTATAGGTTTCTCATGAAAGAACTTACGCGCACGTTAAAACGTTCTATAAATTTTTATAGTATGCGTATAGCTCGTAATTCGTGACAGCTTAAGAACGAACTTGAGTTAAGAACATTTAATATTAATGGTCTGGCATTCAGTGGCTGGGTCGAAGGGGTTAAAACTCGCTCGTAAAAACAGCGGTTCCTTCCCCTAGTGGTTAACGGGGTATCTCTCATATAAGCATTGCATGCAAATTTGTTTGCCTTTGAACGTACGCATATACACGGCAGAGTTCGCGCATTGTTACGCGTAGCTTTCCGCGAGATCAGCTGAATACGAGTGTGTGAAAATGCACACACGATGATTTATATAGACGTATTTGGCAGAGCGCCGCTGGATTGTGGGAGCCCAGAGTCCCGGAAACAAATTTATGCACATTGTATCAGCGAGGATCTCTCGACGGCATCGTTGTCACGACTTCCCAGAAGTAACGTGACTACAATTGCGCCATAATTGGCCTAAGTATGCTCATTGTGTTCGTGTCACTTGCGTGTCGCCTACAGGTGTCTCCTCCACTTTGTTGTGTCTCGCGATTTATGTTCGTCGAATTGCGAAACATCGGAGACCAGTTGCTTACATCGAAGTATCTTTTTGTACTGTCTTCGTCTATTTTCTATTTATATTTCACAATGATTTATTGCGAAGTAAATACCTTTAACGTCACATCAGTTAATTTGTATAGGACAATTTTTTATGGTGGATACAAATAAGAGATTTATTTATATTGTAAAGAGAAAAAGAAGTTGTTAGAAATTTTCGAATACGATTAGCTGAAATCCAATGAAGTTCTTTATATCTTCTTTATATCTTTAGTTCTTCTTCTATGAATTTCTTTCGACTTTTATTAGCGAGTTATTCTACGTAAAGGATTAAAAATCTTTTATTTAATCTTTTTCCTTTTATTTTTCTGTTATATAATATATGATTAATATTCAAGTTTAGTATATATGTACATATATATTCAGGGTCGTTACTTAGCTGTCTGATACACATTTGTGTAACGAAAAGAATTCTGCTTTCTTGGGCCGAAAGGAAACCGGGTTCTCGCGCCAGCGGGCCGAGTGAAAGGGGTCTTTGGTCCCTCCGAAAAAGAAAATTGTTATCCGCGGATTCACTTGGCTGCCCGCGGCCCATCGAGCCATCTCACCGTGTAATTACACGGGGGCCCGATCCGGGATAATTGAGGACGAAACCGAAGGGAGAAAGTGAACCGCCGTCACTTCGCGTACACAGCATGATTCATTCGTTATTCGGCGCGCACGGTGTGTACACACGCGAGGAGATGGGTCCAAACAGGTCCCATAACTAGGGCGTAACGAAGATGGCACCTGCTGCGATTGCATAAATCGATCGGGGCGCCAATCTTGTCGATAACACTTTGATCTTAATATAATACAATTTTATGAGAATGATATACACGATTATATACTATATATTTCATAATGTTAGTTGCATGTCAATATTCAATAATATAAAGTAAATATAATAGCATGATCTCTCTACAAAGAGAACTATTTCTTAATTAACTTTTGGAAAGAGTCAGAGTTTGATTGCAATACTATTTGTGTGTTGCAGTTGATTTTATTTTTGAATATATTATGCTTTTGAACTTTATTTAAACTTTATTTAAATTTATGTCCGGGCTTTGTCACAAAAAGAGAGAGGAATTGAAATGACACTGGGCCTCTATTCTAAAAGTATCGTATACGAAAATCTAGGGAAATGCTATTTGTAACGCATACTATATAGTATTTCCTTAAGTTTTTCGTACGCGAGATATTTCAAGAATAGAGGCCCTGATCTCGACTTTGAAAGCAAACACGAACATGAATCGCAATTGCACGCTCTAACAATTCGTGTCACTTAGATGTCCTCATTAACTCGTATTCGTCTACTTTTTCCTCGTGCATGGAGGCGTGATTCAAGTATCGTGTTTCTTTAAAAAGATAAGCTTTCTTTAATAAAAAAAAGAGCTCGATTCTGACGTCACGATAATAAATAAAGATAAATCCTCGAAACGTTGGTAAACGAGAGCTTTCATAAAATTAAGTAAACGTTGAGGACCTTCGGATTAAAAAGAGATTTACACTGTCCTTTGACATAGTTGGGTTTATTAAGAATCGTTGCTGCAAAAGTTACTGCAAGCGGTGTATAATTATTTTCGTACCTTCACGTAAAGCTAGAACTATATTTGTTTCCTTAGTTTATTTTCGTGTAATTTTGAGCTTAATATGAAAAATTGTTGAAGGAGACGTGATACTTTGCGAATTCAT